GAGTTCAGTGCGTCCTGACCCTTAAATAAGGGTCGCAACACACGTGTCGGCCACGCCTACTTTATACCGCAGTACAAATGAGTTGCTACTAGATCGATGACTGAAGCTTGTAAATTTTATATACTCCTTTTTCCTTCACAATTGTTAGGTACTAAATTTTGGTATTAAGTTTCAAGACGTTGTCATAGAATTGTAAACCGGTTCTAAATCAGCTGATACTGAGTTCTGACTAATTTTTTTATATCAGAGGAAGTGAAAAAATGTGATCGTGCATTGCTTTTGAAGAGCACTTGAAATCTGTGTTCTGGTTCTAGGAAGGCTTTCGCTTGTTCCGCTCGGCCGGCCGCGCGGTCAGGCCGCGAGTTCAATGACCTTGCCAATGGAATTAAATTCGATAATTGTTACTTCATTTCATAGACTACGTGCATCATTTCGAACTCCAAATTAGTTTATTCTAACAAAATGTTACCTAAACAATAATCTTACTATCATCATCATCTTCCCTGCCTTATCCTACTCCCGTAGGGTCGGCGCACCGAGTTTTCGTCCTCCAAAGCACTCTATCATCCGTCATCTCAGTCATCACTCCCTTCTTGATCATGACACCTTTCACGCAATCCATCCATCTCTTTCTAGGTCTACCTCGACCGATGTACCCCTCCACATTAATAACTAACATCCTTCTTGTTACATGCGATTCATCCCTTCTCATAACATGCCCATACCACTCTAACCTTTTACTCCTTATTTTCTCAACCACTGGGACTACTCTCAAACTTCCTCTAATATACTCATTTCGTATCTTATCCAATAATCAATAATCTTACTATCTCACTAATATAATAAAAAGCGAAAGTTTAGATGGATGGATGGATGTTTAGAGTATATTACCTAAACTGCTGAACGGATCTCTATAAAATTTGGCAGAGATTGGCACCCTAGAGGATATAAAAAAAGAACACATAGGCAACTAACTTTTTTTATTCCACGCGGACGCACACGGACGAAAGCTAGTTATTTATAAGTTTAAATGTTGATTATCAATTAAAAAATTAACAAAGATTATTTCAAGCCTTGGGATGATATAAAAAGTAGAATCTCACGAGCGCACACTTCTAATAGTAAAGTCAAGGTGACAACACAATTGGAAACGTTACGGACTGATTAGGGTACGATCGTGTCTGGTACGACATTACGAGGGACAAATTATTACAATTAAAACACTGTTATCTACTGATACGGAACAAAACATTGTGTCGAGATCTCGAGATGCAATTCAGAATATTCTTGGAAATCCAATCGTAGCTCGATTATCTGCACAGTGTGAATAGATTGAATGAACTAACATTTCTATTTATTGTTTATGCCCCTTATTATATGGACAAAATAAAACGCCGGTACTTAGCTTAATGTTGTTTAATAACTGTTAGTTACATTTTAGTTGTAATAAGAATCACTTGATTAGCGCGAGATACGATGCATGGCCGCGCAGATTGACAGACGAAGTGCAAGAGATTGAATGAATGTCCAATAGGGATGTCCGTGTGACGCTGGTGCTAGTGATGTACGTAGTCGATTATTTGGGATCCATATGACACAGGTGCCAACATTTATTGACAAAAATAGATATAGAATGGACAGAATATTACTTATATTTTAGTTTGTTCATTTTCATTTCACCCAAAATCATTCAACCCCTGTACGAGTCTTGGAAAAAGTTGAATTTTATAGCAAATTCCTAGGTTCTAGTGGAAGGGAAAGGATGTCTTAACAAATTTTTAATTCATCAGAATCTTCAAAGATTTGCTTGGGCACAACTTAGTTTACGTTTTTTATATAAACTTAAGATTGTTGTGCACACATTATGCGCTACTTTTAGCGCTCTAAACGCTTAAGAGGGTTACGTGAAACTATCTAATTCGCAGATTTGTAGCTCCTTTCAGCCTAAAGCCTCGAGGTCGTTGAACCACGTCTTTGCCTATATCTTTTGGATTTTGTCTTCTCTACAATAACTATAATATAAGGATTACTTCCGCATAAAAATGAAGACTTGCAATTCCTTATACGAAGTAGTATAGGTCCACCGTTCAATTCCTTTTAACCCAACAATAGAAAACCAAATACGCAGAACCGTTCACTACTGCATAGTTTAAACCTCCTTGACTGCTTTTGACAGTTGACAGTTTTCCCTGTCAAAGCGCGGGGGCCGGAGGAGACGGGACAATGGGCTTAGTTGCGGGGGTACGTCAAAGTTCCCCGGTTGACACGCGATTAAACTTATTGAAAATATTCGCTTTTTAAAGGCCAGTTTGGGGTCGTTTTGGACTTTGAAAGGGATGTTTTGCGGACTCGCGTATTATCGCGCTGTGGTTACAATAGGGGTAAATGTAATGCTGTTACTGCGGTTCAATATAGGAGTGAAATAGTTTTGTTTGGGGTCATGTTTGCACTTGTTTGGTGCACCGTTTAATCTTACGGAAAACATCAATCAGATTGAATAAATCAAAGGAGTTTATTATCAGTTGATACAATTTGATTTGTAGCACAAACACCTTGTATTGTCAATAATAACGGCACGTATAAATAATCTAACTTTAATTTTAAACAACCAAACTAACGTTCTTATTGTAAAATATTACTTGTAAACATCGAAATTTGAAAAAAGAATATAGCGAGAACTTGAAGTTTTTAGCTTTATATTTAGAATTACTTTTTCCGCGTCCATTCTATATTTTTGCGTCTATGTAATATCAGACACAATAACGGACTATGATACTCCAGGAAAGAAGATGAATGCCACATTATTGATTGGTTTAGTAGTTTAAGTTACGACGTTACAATAGAATTTCAAATACATAAAAAAACATTACCCTCTTTGTTGGGTAAAAACAAAATCATAAAGATTTAACCTAAATCGAGTGATAAAATTTTACGAGTACGAATACTGGCGAGAAATTTTACACAGATAAACGAAACGAAATATTTTAGAACGTGTACTTGTTGAAATTCGATTACCAAACGTAGTTAGTGCGTGCTGCGACAATGACGGGGCAAATATATTTTTTATTGTTGCTGCTGTTTAGTCGCGGTAATCCCGTTAGTGCAATAATGGATACATTTTATAACAAAAGATTGTATTTATAAAAGAACAAGTTGTCTTTTATTGCGCCTTAGTTTGGGAGTCACGAGTGGAAATCGTGACTGAGTGCGTGGTTTTTGTCGCGCCCGACGACGGTACTGTGCTGTGTTTAGATTTCAAGTATACTGGGCCGAGTACTACACTTGTAAATTTGACATTCAGATTTAAATGAGATATTGTAATAAACATAAAAGACAAATATTTTAAAAAGTTAATCTGACGTAATTAATCTTTTATTTTTTTTATTTTTCTACAAAGAAAATAATTCGTAAAATAGAACAATTAAATTTCCTAGCAGCCTTTTCTTGCTTTAAAATAATTATGTCCATAATTAAATAATAGAACACGTCAAATGTTTAAACTAATTACTGAGTTTTGAATAATTACAATTTCGAGCACATCAGAAAAGATAAAAAACGTTTTACGAACAAAGGCTAATATTAAAAAAAAACAGTTAAGCTTAATTCAAAATTGAGTTCATTATAGCTCATTTGTAGCGATTCTTTCGAAGATAATTTGTAACAAAATGTTATAAAGCTAAAAGTGTTTTACAGCGCATAATGGCGGGCTGTGGGCTGCGGGCTGCGGTGCGCCTTTCCAACTAAAAACAAACAAGTTTGACAGTTCGTGTCAAGAGAAGTTTAATTATTTTCCGTTGTAAAAAAGACAGGGTTACACGGTTGTTGTAACGTTATAGTAACAGTTGTGGCGCTTGGTTTGAAATCGTTTATTGGAAACATTCTGATATTGGCAATTTGGAATTTATTTGACTTTTGTTTGACAGATATTATTATTTGTGGAAAATAAATTTAATTATCTCTATTGACCTTGCACTATTTAATACTAGCTTTCGCCCGCGACTCCGTCCACTTGAAAGTAATTAAAACAAAAATGATTAGCCTATGTGTTCTTCCAGACTATCCTATACATCTATACCAAATTTCATCGAAATCCGTTCAGTCGTTTAGGCTACAAACTCTAACAAACATCCATCTAAACTTTCGCATTTATCATATTAGTATGAAGTACGATGGATTCCATATCATAACTGTTGTTAACCTTCATGCTTAGTAGATTACGGGCCTGTCCCACTAAATTGTCTGATAACAATCCAACGTGTAAAATATGTGATAGAACTATCGTATTTTGTTACCTTATCTGACAGTGACATTTTTAAGCTATCTGAGCCTCTATCAGCCAGTGGTGGGGCAGGGCTTAAAATTATGTATGTTTTAATTTTTTAATGGAATTTCGTTCAGTTTCCATAGCATAGTAATCGTATTAATTAAATTCAGTTTGTTTTGTGCTTGTTAATATTTTCAAACAATTGAACAAATATTTGAACAAGTGTTTTATTGATGCTAAACCTTTCTGTATTCTATACTGCTTCAAATAATATTTGATTTGTTAGCTAATTTGAATTTACTGTAAATTAAAGTAATTTTGAAACTAGGAAGTAACTTGCATCAAGTTGCATATTTGAGTATTTTAAATAATTAGGACGAATGAAGAAAACTTTGGGATAGTCCCAATAACTTTACAGTTGTGTGGTGTAATTTCCTGAACAATGAATAATTTTTAAATTCGGTCTTTGACATAGTAATTTAAATTTATTTCTAGATCTATCGAAAAAGATCATCGAAAGAAATCCACTTCATTAGAATTTTATTGTTTTCTAACGCCATCTATTACAAAATTATGAAACTAATAAGATATATATTATCTGTGTTGAAAAGACATGTATTTTTTTAAACATGTTTTTAAAATTATGACAAGCAAGAAAACTTCACGAGCCATTTTAAACACCGCTTTTTGCTAGTTATATTTACAAAATTGCATGTTTAAGGCCAAATCCACTTACCAGCTCTGAGCGCATCCATTGGCACACTGGGATAAGGTATGGAGTATGGGTATCCTTCCTTCCTGAGCGTCTTGGGCTTCCGCCGCGGTCTATATTTATAGTCTGGATGTTCTTTCATGTGCATAGCCCTCAGCCGCTTCGCCTCGTCTATGAACGGTCGCTTCTCGTCTTCTGATAGAAGCTTCCATTCCGCACCTATGGAAAATAATTGTTTTAATGTTGGTACCACATGAGATTCAGATTGGAAACTTTTAAACATATAAGTGGACATAATAAGCTGTTGTTTTTATTTGTATGAAAAATTTGTCTACCGTTTCTTAAAACACTAATTAATATTATTTGAAATCAACTTTGAAAATTAAAACCAATTTGTAAATGATTTTTACTAATGCATAGGCATTTTAAAAGATAAATGTTGATATAGTTAAAGTCAAAAAGTATTAAACATTACGAAGCCAGAATTACTGAACAGAACATGATTATTCGAACTGAATCATGAAGTTTCAAACTATTGTACCATTGAGATAAAAAGAATAAAGTAATTTGCTTAAACCATCCCTCATTGCGGACACAAAGCCTTTCAATCGATACAATATAATCGAAAGCACGGCGACCAGCCGAGCTCGATTCAAGAGACCAACCCTTTGTTTCCCCCCATTTATGGGAAGGCTTTATTCATCCCATCGATACCGTGGAGGGGCGCCACCGTCCATTCAAACAGACAAGACAATCCTGATTCAGGCGAGCACAAAAGCGAAAACAATGTCACCAACATTGAAAGGAACAATCCGACAGTACTGTCCTCTCGCTTCCACCCCCGCAGAGCTCCTGTTGGGGGAAAGGGACGCATACAACAATGGCGGAAAGCGCCTCCTAACGACGAATTTGCGCTTTTCATTCCGCTACACAAGTTTTTCCCGGATCCTCATTATTCTGTCGATACTTTGGGGAGGCTACCTTTTGTCGGCCTGTGTGTCGGCCGGCGCGACTCGATCGGTATGCATCCATTATAATACGAATTGGTATACTCTATATTCATATTGATTAAACCGGGAAATTCCAGGACAATTCTCTAACGTGTTAACGTATAAACAAATGCTAAATTTAGAAAACTATTATTTTCTAAATGATTTTAATATCTAAGGATATTAAACATTTTTCCTGCGTTAATCCTATAACTAATTGTAAAGCTTTTAAACAATAAATGTGAAATATTCGCGTCGATTTGTATACATTGATATAGCTACAAATCATAGCGTAAACCTAACCACAAACCACCAATCAACATTTTCAAACGTTCATACGATACAAGCACGCTCCACGTCGCTCGAAATTTGCATTTAAACGAACTATTCATCTATCAATAAAGCAAACTAATTACACATCGTCCCGTATGACAACGGAGACATTTGCATTGCACAAAACGCCGGCTAAAACATACGCGTTGCCTTTCAACAGCGACAATGTCTTGAAGCTGCGCGATTTCCCGTTTTCCAACAAAGGGACACGGTGTACGGCTGTCGCTCGCAGGTTTGTGCGTATTGTGTCGCACATTGTCGACACTGCAACCTAAGGAGGACAAATGTCGCTAAGAATTTTTCCCTATGCCTTTGTTTAAACGACAATAAGTCGAGTTATTGTAATGTTAATGCAACGCTCGTTAATATGATTGTTAATGGATGTGTCTGTTTGTTTAATGCAAATTATAGTTTAACATTCGATTTGAAGTATTCAGTGTTGTGAATTGTTTCTGTACCGCGTGTTACAATACGACCACACAATATTATTTTCTATAACGATTGTTATTTCATTTTGTTATTTTTTCACATTGCATATTTTTGTACTAAATTGTATTTGAAGTAGTCTGGACTATTGCTCGTTTTGCCATTTGATCTCGTTCTGTATTTTCCATTAAGTTTTAAAAGGTTTTTTAAATTGATAAAGCATAACTCCTTTACTTAATTCAATGGAAATCAATACTTACACCCTTTCAAGCTAAATTTTGTCCCCAAAATACTTTTTATTAAAGTACTGAATAGTCCGTTATTCCAAATTTAATTAACAATTACCAATCGAATTCGCCGGGGACACGTGCCGGCACTGCAAAGTGTTGCCACTCTACAATAATTATTTCCTACAGCCCGCCTCTCGGTAAACAATGTCGACGCTAGCAACACTGGCCAACGATTGCCTCGCACAGACGCGTAAATAGGAATCAAATGACTTGATACAATAGACATTTTTGTGATATTATAATTGATAAGGGGTGGTAAAAGTTTGTAATTCTAGTAACATTAGTTTACTTTATGTCCTATAATAATAGTATTTAGTATACATTTTGTCATAACATTTTTCAATACCACATTTTTTATCGTTGCTTCCTGAAAACCCTACATATGTTTTAACTCATAGTTAAACTCTATAGTTAAGATGTACTTACATGCGCACACTGTAACTGAACAGTTTAATTAAAATTAAAACAATAAATTAGAATTAAGCGCTACCAAGCTTTAGTTTGACAAAGCATTACTTCAAGTGGACCGTTAAAGTTTTCTTATAATTATCTAGACAATGATAAAATGTAAATGAAATCAAATAAATAAAAACCAAGATATAATTGTAAGCAACATCAAACAGAAGAAACGTCATCTCGCTAAGTGAAGTCGATTGCAGATTGAAAATGAGAATCAGCTCGTAGTTCGCGAGACTCGAGTGAATACCGCCGTTAATGTCTCGACAGAGATGTTTTACATTACGTATCTTTGTCAGCGACAATCGCACAAACAAAGAGCAAGACAAAAAACAACGGGGCGTATGTAACACACTCGCATTGGGCACAATACACAACACGACAAAGAGTTTCCTCTCTGCGTTGTATTAAAACGGCCATTGTGTTCAGAATCGGACGAAAATGCTCTTCATTACTCTGAAAGCTTGTGTGCCGTGCGACAATGGGCCGGGGGGTGGCTGTAGGTCCGGGAGGGGGAGGGGGTAGCAACAAAGCCGGCACGGGGAAGGCGAAGGCGCGCCACCCTTTCGTCCGGAAAATTGAAATGGTAAGAAATGGTATTTAGGTCATGATTTTATTAAATCTTAATAGCTTCTCTTTTCGGTTTTCGGTGAATCGACATTAATGTGTTTCAGTAGTGACGATAACAATTTTTACAATGATTATTTTATGTTTAGCATACAATCAGAGAGAATGTTTATTTTTTATTCAAGTGATAATATGATATGAAAGTTTAACGGTTTAAAGTATTTTTAGTAAGTAAATGGAATTATCTATACTATTATAATAAAGCGTAAACACACACTTCTTTGTTGCCTAAGATGTCAGCAATTACAGCACATTTTTGAATAATTTTTTTTTAATAAAAAAACTCTACACTTACGTTACGCTTTAGGCTATATTATTTAACGCCATTAAACTTAGGGGGTAAATACATTGGATAAAAAACCTTATGTGGGAAAGAGGCCATAAGTTGTTGCCAACATCAAGGAAGCAAGTTGCCATGGTTTGACATCATGTCATGTCATTTTCACATTTGAAATTGATAATTTGACAAATATGAACAATGAAATGATTTTTTTTTCTGCGGATGAAGTCGCAGGGGAACATCTAGTTTTAAATAAAATCTTGCAGTGTGTTTTCTGCATTTTTTAAAAAAATGTGAAGGTGTTTTGCCAAATGATTATTTAAAAAAAAATCTTAATAGTACATACATTTATTTCTGTTATTGTAAATTGTTAAATACTAATCTATTCGTTTCCATATTATTTTGAAGACATCAAAAAGTTCCTAGCGTTTAAATTTTTACACTCACACTTATAAAATACGTCATTTAGATATAAATAATCAGCACTGAAAAAGTAACAAAAAATATAACGAAAGCACAACGCAAAAAATACAACAAAACGCTAACAATAACTTTCAATTCGTAACGAAATAATAGAAAATAGAACTACGCACTCGTGCCGACTGAAAACGTAACGGCTGAACGAAATAAAAAAGATAAAGACACAACAGGTCGTAACTTTTTTTTGCATTGTACCGAGAGACGGTCGCTAGCGAGCCGATTGCGAAAAAACCTACGCGGTAATTAAACAACGGGACAAAAAGGCCCCCCCTCCCCGGACAATGGGGAAACAAAAGTATTTTTGTCGCGCGACTCCGGTCTGACGAGTGGCGGGCCGCGATAAGCGCTCTGCGACCCGCGACTCGCCTACCACACGCACACTGTTATCATAACCTCAACAAACCCACGTACTTGTAAGAAAGAAAATATCATTATATACCCTTCATACCTATATTAAAAGAAAAAATTAAAAAAAAAATCACCGACTGACTAAAATTAATATACTTGGAAACACTCTAAAAAGTTACCGCGAGTGACATTCTAACTCGGTTTATCAGTTTGAGAACATTATTTCTTCAACCTCTGTAGGTCTTTTGTCAACTCCAAGACAATCTGAGGAAGAACATGAATTGATTGACACTTATTCTTCAAAATCAGCTGTCACAATGAAAACTCCAAACCCACATACATAAAACAAATCAAATACGAGCGAAAAACATTAGTCTGTCAGGGAAGATCTTTCAGACTTCTAATGACAACGAACTACAAACTAAATTATAAAAATCATGGTCTGATATTTCATTAGAGGACATGATAGGTTCGTTTTTCGTGTCTTAGACATTAATGGCTTTAGCTGCCAGATTTGTTTTCGATCCAAGACGGGCTTTTTACAATTCTTTGTCACTGACAATGCACCTGAGACTGACTTTTTCAATTCTCTTATGTGCGTCAATGATATTTGGGTTTTACTTTAACGTTGGCCAATATCGGCGCGCCTGCACTTCAAATGTTTGCTCATATAAGCCGGTTCTTGTCGATCGTGCCCGTGACTCCTTAAGTAGTTGGATGTTTGTGCGCGCGCTTTTAGAACATATCGGTATTGACATATCAAACAATCGAGGATTTTGTTTAAATTGGCCATACGAATCTTTGTGGTTATGTACAGTGTTCATGACATATTGGACGGAAAGAACTCAAGTATTTAAACATGGACATTCTCTTTTCTAAAATTACTTAGATTTTTCTTTTTTTAGGGCCTGTCCCACCAAATTGTCAATTGTTTGATAACAATCCAACATGTAAAATATGTGACGGAAATATCAGATTTTGTAACCTTATCTGACGTCATTTTTAAGCTATCTGAGCCTCTATCAGCCAGTGGTGGGACAGGCTCTTAGTATTTCAAGATTTATGTAGATAAGTTCCAGTATTCTTATTGATTTAGTAGCATTGCCAACATAAAGACACAAAACCAGCACTCGTTGGAAGTGAGGAAAACACTCAGTCATTCCATCGCGTTCACACCGTGTTTGCCCTTAATAGATTTCTTGCAGTACAATACATTCTTATTTGAGCCGACGGTGCTCAGTGTTTCTTTGACGTCGATAGAAAAACAGCATTGTAGAGCGATCACTGCGCTGTGAGATCACAAACGTGTCTGCTATTGGATGCTCTTCGCTGGATTACGGCCAATGGCGGTCGGTATTGTTGGCGCTATGCTTTAATTACACTTCAGGCCACAAAAAATGGGGCAGGCGGTTGAAACAAAAAATATTACAAAACTTATATAGAGAGCGAGGAAAATCGACGTAAATTGGAATCCAACTGCGACATATGTTCGTATTATGTAATTCGAGTTTCAGTGGGGCGTGGATGATTAGATGGGGTAATGACTTTGGGAGTGATCGGGGGATAATAGGGTTGCTACGTTTGGGTTAACAAAAACTTGTACTATCTAATGGTATCCACTTTTTGTGTTATTCACTTATATTGCAAGGAAGGCTCAATATCCATTAAAAACAGTTAAATGAAGAGCTATCATACTTGTATTAAACAAGAACCGTCATTATCCAAGTAAGCCAAGAACGTATAAAGAAAAACCCAAGTTTTTTTTAACAAATGACACGCCCAGTTATATTCAAAGCCTGTTACTTCGACGAAGCTTAAAAACAATCAAGTATTTAACACACAAAAGACGTTAGTAGACTTACAAATTAAAAAATGACAGAATAAAGGTGTCTTGCTAGGGTTGTACGACACCTCGACGATAAATGGAAAGCAATTACATGAAGCACAATGAACCACCCCCACCCTTAATTAATATTAACTACGGAGCGACGCCCCTAACAGTTGGCGGAGGGAATTATTGAGGGTAGGCTGGTGCATCGGACAGCGAGGTAAACAAACACGGCGACACACGGCGGGCAAGAGTTAACTACTTGACTTTTTACCGATTGTTTTGTGGAATCCGTCAAGTTGACCAACAGTTTGAAAGAGACAACCACATTTGTCTCTTGTAAATTTCGAGCGATGTGGAATATAAATATGGAACAAGAAATATAAAGCATTTAAAAGCTATTCCGAAAATTAAAGTAAAAAGATCAAAAAATGAGTTTTTATTCAAATTATTTGGAAAACTACCTATCTACCCCAGTTTTATTTGGTAGGCAAATTATGCCTACGTCTCATATCTTTGATGTTATATTTAGCCTATTTCTTTTTAGATGTTAATGTAGCTTTTCCATGGCGATAGATTTTTAAAAATCGGTTCAGTAATTTCGAAGTCTATTTAATACATTATTTTTTCTTTTTTAGAAAGTAAAAAATGATGAAGTTGACATTTTTAATATTTTCCAATCCGTATGTATTTTATTATTTGTAATTTGATAGTAAAAAGATATGAAGGGAGTGAACACTGAACGCTGAACATTACGCGAAAAGCTTTGTCGGGCGCATCGACATTTGTCGGGCGTTCGACATCGCGTTTGGTTCGCGAACAAAACACGTTTTGTGCACCGATCTATTAATGCCAGTAGACAATGGAATGAACGAAATGCTCCCCGTTCATTATCGACAGGTATTACACAACTCTGCCATCTGTACAATATTCACAAACCATTTTTAAATGGTTTCAAATGATATTCCATTATTTCAAGCTTTTGTTCGTTTTTGATTGATGAATCTATTATTTGTAAAATGATGTTTGACAACAAGACGACTTGTTTTATCAAAATTTGTTTTTCTCGTTTTATTTTTTATATTTTAATGGCAGTGTATACACATTGCTATGCACACTTAGAGCTGTGCGCGCCTTTGACTAAACTATGTCGTCACAACTGTGCGATTGTCGATTGTTTTGCAGAACATTTAACTGTTTAGTTACAAAACAAGAAAAACAGTTGTGCGATAGTTTAGTTTCTTATAAGAATGTTTCTAATTCGAATTTAAATCTTCTTACTCCTTTACAAGTCTTACTACTTTAGTATTATGATTCCATACTAAGGGACGTCATTAGTGTCCATTTCAAAATTCTGAGTTCTATGTTGATCTTTTGGGCTGTAATTTAAGGATTTTGAAATCATTTACGTTCGTTTTTACAGTAGCGCTCGAACTTAAAACGTTGTATGAATAAATAATGCGCTGTTTGTTCAGGACAATACGCTGTGCTCGCAATAAGAAACTGACTTACGAACGCCGTTCCCCCTCGCGGCGCCTACACCCCCCGCACCGATGTAACTGTAGGTGTTGAGTTATCTATATTCCGATTAATGTTAACCAATATTAAATATATCTGCTTAAGATCTTCAATTTTAATTGTTCTAGCTGCCGGGTTATGACGAGGACAATTTGGAATTTAAGACAAGTCCCCTTTTAAATAAACAAACCTTTGAACGTTGACATTTAATTTAATTTATTATTGTCCTATAATTATTGTTATAAAACGATTATATTGCATTATCAGATGCCGTGGGTAGTATCGGTGCAGTGTAGTGTGATCAACAAACCAACACGACACAACACAACACGTGCAAACAGTGTACCTATGCGGAGCGGACCGCACAAGGCACCGTTAAAAAAGGAGGGAAAAAATAGAAAATGGCGCTTCCTCTCGCCGTCACCGACAGAATGGCGGCCAGCGGCGGCGGTTTTATTTTTCCCCACTCTTCCGCCCGTGTCTCTTCCCCTGTCTCTTCTCTCTGAACATTTTTAAATTCTCTGTTGGGCTTGAGTTTTGCTTACTTTTCGTCGTTGATTAATTCGGTGGCCGGTGTCCCGCTGCGGCGCTCCTGCCGCATGATTGCGCCCTCTTTTTTTTCGTGCGACGCTCAATTTTTTTTACTATGCTTTTAATTTTAAATCTGTTCTAAATTTTCGATCGTTCTCCAATTTGATTGCAGCATGAGGTATATGAGTTATAACACACGGTCTAACGTAATGTATTTGTATATTGTAATAAGAAAACAGCATTAAATCTTTTCTATATTAGGTTAACATATCGAAAGTTTCTGGCGTTATTACGTGTACTGATTAACTTTGATGATTCTTCAAATGCTTTAACGGTAATACAGAAATCTAAAATCTTATTTGACTTAAACAAACAGATAACATTCTTATTAGGAGCGTCGGTGGCTCAGTTGTTTAAGGACATGACTTGTAATATACAGGTCTTGGGTTCGAATCCCGCCATGTACCAATGTGATTTTCGATTTTTCGAAATATCATTCGTACATAATTTGCCCGCCTTTCTAACGGTGAATGAATACATCGTAATGCAACCCGTACATATCGGCGAAGAAATTCAAAGATATGTGAAGTCAACCAACCCGCAGTAGGCCAGAGTGGTTGTGGTTGTTGGTTGTTGTGGAGTCCCTAACTAAGGATAGGGTTCGAGCACCTTGGTGGTGACGTATAGTGAGCTGGTTATTCTGCTGTTAGCTCTTATTAGTATAGAGACACGAGTAGTTTGTCACCTAGTGAGTTATAAAGCCTTTTCCATAAGATATTTCGTAAGACAATTAATAGATTTCATTATAATTTCGATTAATGTATTCCACCGTCTGAACACTATCTAGTGTATTAACATAAAGGTTATGTGCGAGTTAGATTGGAATTAAATTACCTCTGTTTGTAGAGGACCGGGGCCGAGTTATTTGCATTACAACTGAGAGGTTATTGAACAATATATCACTACTGTCGATTCATCTCCGAATCTTTAATTAAAGTTAGATAATTGATACAATATTAAGTAACGGAAATGTATCAGATTGAAAACTTCGAAAGGTTTTTAATAATGAATTTTTCTTATTACGTAATATAAGTTATCTATTTTAGAAATTGGATTGTACGCGTTAAATGTTTATTAATTTATTTTCCTACATATTAAATTACTACTAAAACTTTAAGCACGTTTTTTTTTAAATTTCGTTGTCGCCTTTGCAGCAATAGAAGACTGTTAGATAGTCATTTACAATATCAATCTAATGATTAATTTTTTTATTAATTCAGGCAATATCTATTACTTAGTAAATGTATCATTTGAAAATTGTTTAGTTGGCAACCCTATAAATTTTATGACGACAATAGTATAGAATCTTACCTAATCTCTTCGAGATCTCGGAGTTATGCATCTTAGGGTTGTCCTGGGCTATCTTCCTCCGTTGTAGACGCGACCACACCATGAATGCGTTCATTGGCCGCTTGATGTGCTCCTCCTGGCTCTTCTTCTGAGCTTGGCCGTTCATGGCGATCGCGCCCATGGTGCCTATCGCGCCCATAGCTGACATATGGCCCATGGGGAAGTGGCTCATTGTGCTGCCGTAGCCCGCGCGCTCGCACATCGCGCCAGCGGCACTGGAATAAAACACTTATTAAATAACTTTATTTGTATTTTTTAAATCTATGTTTCGAGGAGTAAATATATGCCTAAACAATATGGGAAAAAGGAATTTTCAGTTACAATTTGTCTTTAAGCATGTAATAAATAGAAATGTTTTGATACATTTTGACAGTGGTAGTGCCCGCTTTAACATCTTCGCACGAATGGGCCGGCACGCCCGGTGTAATACCACGACCACACAGAAGACAGGCGTGAAGTAATTCCGTGTTTCGTCTGTTGAGTGTGGTGCCGGAGGCCTAATTTAAGTCCCTTTCTCTTTACCATTCTTTTCTTATAATGAGAGGATGGGAAGAGGAAGTGGATTTGACGGTGGAGGAGATGCATAGGAAGGGGAAATATACTCTTTATGTGCGTCTCCTCCTTCGTCGTATAAGGGTAGGCAACACATCTGCAATTGCGGATGTCTATGGGCAGCGGTCGCTTCGCCATTTTGGCGGATTCAAGTGGCCGCTTGCTCGTTTGCCACCTTATGTTATATAAAAAAAAACAAGAAATATAGTTAGATATATGGTTTATTTCTTTAACCGAAGATGATTGATAAGTCAACGTATTTATTTTTATTACTATAAACTACTGTTGGCTGTCCAAGTTTCTTATAGTAAGGGTAATACTTTAATGAGGTATTAGACACCTGTAAAGTTTTTACCAACACCCCGGGGGATCAAACCAAAGTTGAAAACACGCCATCGATTTGAGATGATCGCAGAAACATTTTAATTATACTAAAAATATAACTCTCATCTCCCCGACGGTGTCGCGGCCATTGTTAGGGCCCCTACACACGTGCGCAACAATCGCGACTTTTAATACTCCTGCGACAATTACAGTGTGCACGGGACTGGAAAATATTAATACATCGCGCATAAGAAAGAGGGCGCTTTTTAAATTGGCTGCTTATAAGCGATCACACGCTTGTCTCTGATTGGCTGAAGGCCCCTTACGAGGATTTGCCTCTCAAGAGTCTTACTCTAATTTCGTTAAGTAAGTCGCCTTTTTGCGGTTCCTAAACTTGGGTTGTCTTGAAGAGGTACTTCGAGATAAAGGGACATTTAGGTAACCTTTCTATTCAAAAGAAAATATGATATTTATTAAGATGATATTTTCGATAAGCTTCGTTAACTTGAAAAAAAAAACAAGATTTCAGGAACCAAAATGAATTTATAACCTGACCAGAAATATACAGCTTTTCCATATTGCGGAAGAATACGGTACTAATTTGCATCCATTAATCTTAGTAATTTTACTAATATTATAAATGCGAAAGGATTGATGGATGGATGTTTGTTAGAGTTTGTAGCCTAAGCAGCTGAACGGATTTCGAAGAAATTTGACATAGATGCAGAGGGTAGTCTAGAAGACCACTTAGGCTACTTACTTTTTTTTAATTCCACGGGAGCGGAATCGCGGACGAAAACTAGTTTTTAGCCAGGATTACATTCGTGTTTACACTATAAATGTATTAAGAAAGTTTCACTTACTTTAATAACAATTGAATCTCGTTAACCACACAATCTATCCAGAACAAATGAAGACCTAGGAAATGATATAAATCATCCGAAATTTCTAATTAACTCAGTGAAACCATTTATAAATTAGTCGTCGGTGTTGCGGGCGTTACAAATCAAATAGTGAAGTCGAACGGGCTGCTAAATTAATATGTTCGAACCGCAAATCCCGGCGGGGAGGTATCACTCGAACATACGAAACATACCCTCTTACCAACACAACCCTTACGCACCCATAATTTGAGTCTGTTAACGATTTGGACAATATAAGCATAAGTTTTACACCCTCTCGGGGGTGATTTTTAAATAACTATTTTAGAAAACTTGGGATAGATTTAATGTTATTTTACGCGAGACAACGAACAGAGGGTAGGGTAGGTTTTAAATATATAATAACGACATTTTCTTCACATTATTTTTTATGACATTTACAAATGCAACGGAATTTACAAAAAATGTAAAAAAAATCTTAAGGGAACCAATCAAAAGTAAATTAAAATCTGCTATCAACAAATTAAATACACTTTATAAATAACCATAATTAACAAGACACATAAATTGTTATCAATTTCTAATAACACGCTTAAAACTCCCTAGGGTTGTCACTTGAATATTTTTTAAATCGATCTAATCTTAGAGTGAGGTACTGATCACACCTGACGCCAATATTCCCATTCCATTCATTATATTAGTAAAAAAGAGAGACAACAAGAGTTACAAGAATGAATAAAACAGCAGATTGTAAATGCAGCTTTTCTTTCTAGATGATTCTATACTCATTGTGATTCCAGGAATTGCCAAGTCAGAACTCTTGTGTTTGTTTTCGCAGAGTCAATATTGATCTTCCTGTTCGCGTGTGACAAGGACGAAGGATTTTTAAAGAAAAGACCGAAAACAACTGCAAGTTTGTTGTGCGCTACTGACTTTTAGTGCTGTGGTGATAATTACGCCCTCTGTCGACAGCTATTTCAGTTGAAGTTATTTTTACCAAAGTTTTGAACTAACCCAGGCTGTTCCAATTGAATTATTGTGCTGATGGTTGGTGGTTTATTTACTTTCATAAAAAAATATCATAAAATAAAGATTTTTAAAAAATCATTGACAAAAAAGTATTTTCGACCGTGACAGGACTCGAACCTGCAATCTTCGGATCCGAAGTCCGACGCCTTATCCATTAGGCCACACGGTCTTGATGATCATGGGTGAAATTAAAGGTTTCATTTTAAGTCAGCCTTTACTTCATAAATGTAATTTTTAAAAACTTGCCCATGTAAAAAAACTTATAAAAACGATAGATAAATATCTCATTATCTAAATTGCAGTTATGGCTGAGTAAAGATACCTTTGCCTCTTCCCAATAGATTAGAAAATATTAACACATTCCAAATTCAAACGCATTGGGTACGTTTGAATTTGGAATGTGTTAATCCAACGGAAACAAGACAGCTACTTGTCCAGTGGCGCGCCGCGCATCGCAAACACGCAGATTGACTGGTGACTGGTGACTGGTGAGTGATGAGGTCGGACATGTTGACTGACTTGTCAGATATACGATTATTCGGATGTGCGACTCAAAGCTAATCAAATCAAGTCTTTGAATACAGGAGTTGGTAAGAAAAAGAAAATGTACTTTTGTGCACTGTACAGATAAACAAGACAGTATTATAATTAAATGTAGATTGCTATAAAGGTAGAGGAAGACCAAAGAAAATTTGGATGGATTGTGTTGCAGGGTAGATGCTTAAGAAGGGAGTGAATTCAAATATAACGGTTAATAGAGATGTAAGGAAGAACAGCACATACTGTGCCGATTTTCTGTCGACAAGAGCAGGTTGATAAAATGTTGTTTTCTACAATCATTATATATTGAATTTCATCCTCAAATAAAGAAATTACACTAAAATTAGTTGTAGATTCTGTTAGCCAATTAACATTTTTCGTATAACCATCATTGTTCACTTCAACAAATACCGCATCCATTCATTACTGGCTCCAAAGATACCGCATCTTCGAAAGCAACAAGAGAATTGAGCCAGCAACATCGCAGTGTCCAAACAAGCTACTGTTTAAACTACTTAGAGGTCGCAGCAAGCGTCGCAAACAAGGCAACTCTTTGTCTAACTCGTTAGCGGCTACGATTCGAAGCCGAAGCGGTTTTTTATTCGTATTTGCCCAACAATCATCGACGTTCGGATTGACAATGTGCTAAGATCTCATCTAGATGGTACAAATGCGTTTCAAAAAGCTATTGCCTTATCAAGTTGAATCTAGGAAAGAACAGAATTTAATTTACCTTGAACATGAAAATTCGTGGTTAGATTTGGTTCTATGTTTTGTAACCGTAAGCAGCTTACTTATTAATAGACCAATTTAGTGGTTCTTAACATCATGAAATTATAGTAAAGACCTAGCTTTTGCAACTACTTTTTTTACTTTAATGTTCTGTAATAATCAAATTTTCGGCCAGTATTTTTTTGAAGGCTATTAATAGCTGATTTTTTTTTTTTCGTAAAGATTCGATAGGAACCTTTTTTGTTCTTTGACTACATACATGTTTTTGATTATAGCACATATTGTTGTTATTGATCTTTGACCGAAACTTGTTGGATTGTGAGGAACAATGCGTATGCGCATGTCTGGGTGTTAACGCGGTGCGCAAACGCGCATGACGACTATTTACATGGCGGCGACTACTGACGGATGGATTGTTTTAACGTAATACCGACAGAAATGATTTCCAATCGTCACTTGAGCACGTAGCACCGCTGGATTAGCTTGTTAGCGTGTACAAGTAGCTGTCTTGTTTCTGTTGGATTAACACATTCCAAATTTAAACGCATTGGGGACGGTTGAATTTGGAATCATACTAATATTATAAATACATATTTTAGTAATGTTAGAATTGTCCGAAAAAATCGATGATACAATAGTCTTACATGACTAAATTTTAGGTTATGTTAAAGAATGTTATTGTAATCGATTTTTTAACAGATGAGAATTTCAATTCGTTTGTTTTTAATTTTATTTCGTAACTCCTGGTTGTCCAATTTTAATAATTTTTCCAATTTTGTTATCCAATAAAGACAAGAATTCATCATCATCATCTCCAGCTCACTATACGTCCCCACTAAGGGACTCTGATGAAACCTGCACATATCGGCGATGTAATTCAGAGATATGTGTGAAGTCAACATACCCGCACTTGGCAAGCGTGGTTGACTATCGTCTAGTCACCCCTTTCTTAGAGTAGGCTCAGGAATTCATACTTTTGTTTAAATTCGATGAATGTCACATGCGATTGTATTCTCCGAGGAACAGGAATGAATTCATAAATATTTTTATCTTTAATTTCAGATTATGGTCTACAGTTCATTAATATATTATTTAGTACCGTCCTTTCCACTTTAAAGTTGATGTACGCTGTTAACTTACATTAACTTAATAAGTAAAATTATTAACATTTTAACGCTCATTAATGTGACATACTTTCCATTTGACTATAATATTTTATCATTGTACTTAAGAACTGGATTCTTTACTTTGAAGTATTTTGAAGCAATCTCTTTAATAACTTTCATCTCTTTACAGCATTATTTTGTTTTATTTTCTACATTGATCTGACTTGGCTTTTCCCCTTCATTTAAATTAATATTTCTATGTTTTAATTTTCTATCTTTTACCTTTTTCTGGCCTTAATTCTCAAATGCTTTTAATCCTTCTGTTTGCTTACTTTCTCCTTACCAGTATTCATTTAATAAATGTTTTTTTTTATTGTAGATTTATACATTTTTAAACTATGAATAGTTGGTAATAGTACATGAGCAGTAAATACTTATGAAAAATACGGACTAATTCATGTTAAATTAACTGGATATCTAAATACTTATATGTTTCAAGCTACACTGCTTTAAATTCTGGTCTTTTAATATTTTTTGTGTCAAGGTTCTATATTCGTTGTCATCTATATCTTAATATTATACAGTTAGAGGAAAGATTTATATTTTTGAAAAAATAAAGAACTCAAAAACTACTGGACCGATTTTAAAAATTATTTCCGCATCAAAAAGCTAATTTTAGTCCCTCTCATTTTCCACCCTTTTCTTAAGAGAAAATGATGAAAGAAAAGAGGATTTGACGGCGGACGAGACGCATAGGAAGGGGAAATGTCCTCTTTATGTGCGTCTCCTTCTCTGTCAATCAAGGGTAGGCAACGAATCTGCAACTGCGGATGTTTATGGGCTCGCTTTCCATTTTGGTGGTTTTAGGTGGCCGATTGCTCGTTTGCCACCTATAATAAAAAAGGTACTTATGAGTGAGTAACATAAGGTATATCTTGATTATTTTGTTAATTTCACGCAGACGAAGTCGCGGACAACAGCTAGTATTTTAAAAGTAATGAAAGATTTTAACTACTTAGTAAACAAGACAAGACAGGTAACTAAACTGTAATTTCTCAAATGTGTAAGTATATGAACATCCGATTACAATCTGATGAATGCAAGATATATCACATCAAGAGATTCCATGTCTTTTATAGCTTAACATCTCACAAATGAGGCTTTTAAGGTCAGTAACTTAGCAAGAGCAAATCAAAATGGCCGTCGGCGCGCCACAAAGAACACCAGCTATTGTAAACGTGTAAAAATAATAAAGGTTTACGATATCTATAATAAAGATGCCACGATTGTGCCTTCATTAGCCGATCTGAACATCTAATTGGATAAGGCATGGGCCAATTTTGCATACGCTTGCACATTTCTAAAACGTATAAGGGTAACATTTAAACGATTTATTGTTAAATGAATAATAAAATTGTTTATAAGGGTAAATGTAAATAAGTGTGTTCATATTTCAATGTGAATTAAAAAAAACTTTTTTGAATTTCTGAATTTGAATCGAAAGGTTAAGAATCAAATGTCGTGAATCAGATATCAAGTCGATTAACCACTGAACTATAGGTCCAATACTTATTGCATTAACAACACAAAATCATATGTAATGTAAGTACCACTTAATGTCATTACATGGCTGGTTTGATCAGGTAAAATGCACGCATAATTATAAGAATCCTAAGTTTCAATTACTAAGTGACTCTTTACAAGTCTTGTTTACATCCAATTGCAAGAAATCTAACAAGAAATATCGTCTTATAAGTACACAATGATTATATAATAAGACGGTTAACGTAGTTGTAAGATATCCTTGAAGTTATTAGTAAAACGATATAGTAATACTATCGCCCTCGACTGTTTGCGTGAAAGTAAAAAAAAACAAAAGAAGTAGGTAGTCTGTGTGTTCTCCCACACTACCTATACTACATGTACGCAAATTTTATCCAATCCATCCATTTAAGCGTCGGTGGCTCAGTGGTACAGCACTTGACTTGTAATCTACAGATCTTGGGTTCGAATCCCGCTGTACCAATGTGATTTTCGAATTTTCATATATACATAATTTACCCGACGTTCTTACGGTGAAGGAAAACATCGTGATGCAACCTGCACATATCGGCAAAGAAATTCAAAGATACTTGTGAAGTCAACCAATCCGCAGTGGGCCAGCGTGGTGGCCAATGGCCTAGTCACCCTCTACTTAGGGTACGCTCCGTGCCTCTTAATGGGGACGTAAAGTGAGCTGGTGATGATGATGATAAATATTTATAATATGGATAAATTGCATGAAATAAACCATATAACTCTTTCTATAACCATCAATAGGTACAACGGAATAGATTTTTCTACCCGTAGGCCCCTAAAATATAACCCATATAAGAATCTGAAGACAGCTTTGTCTAATCTCGTCGGAACGAACCAATGAGCATTTATACCAGAAAGATAAATAAATCAATTAGGATTTGGTATCAACAACTGCATCCAGACAGAGTCATAACTCTAATTCCCGTCTATAAAAGAGCCAGCGAAGAAAATAAAGCGGCTCTTCTCACTTATTGGAATCCTGGAACTCATAATTCCCGTCATCACTAAACATCACACCAAACATCGAACAACAAAAGAGATAATCCAGAAGAACTAATAAGTACTTTTTGTATTCCTTTTTCTTCTTATCCGCTTCCTTTCTGTGTTTAAACGTGCTATATAATAACTGTGTATAAACGTGCACGAGATACGTAAAAAAATACACTATTACATCTAACAAAAACTCTCACGAACTCTCTGAATCACTTGAAATACGGACGTAAAAATTACAATTAATACGACCAGCGTGAGATCTACATCTTTGTGGTCATTCAAACATTAAATAGTTAATTGTTTCCAAACAAACATAGGTAATTAACGCATATTTTTTTAACATCTGTAAGGTCAAGAGGTCGCGGTTCTTCCGGCTTCGATTTACATATGGTTAAATATTGAAAAATAATTAAACGTATGATGTAGACTTAAAAACTGCATGTATGTATCTTAAATCACGATTTTTAAAAGTTATATTACTATAACTTAGGTATTAAAACAAATAGAAAGCGTCCATATTCCGACTACGCATTATTTCTATTTGTTTTAGGTTATAGCTTAAAAATGCATTTTGAATAACAAAACTTGTTATGTCATAATATTATTTCAACCTACTAATTAGAATTTTATCTCCATAATAAAATTTTAATATTGCTTTACAACTGATGAAATAATATCTACTAAGAAAGTTGAAAAAGTTACCTCATAAAGTGACCGCTGGCACGTTGGTGTAGTTCCAGATCCACGTTGGCGGCTCGTAACTGTCGTGTCAGAGCCTCGCCGTCGCCGTCAGCAGACACACCACAACAAACACTGTTCAATGCAAAACAAACTACGACCGATTCATAGTAATCAAACGGGTTAACTATTAATTCGCTAGATTCGCTATCGATGCGATCGCGTATCGCGAACACGTTCGTCGTCGTGCGTCGTGCGTCCGTCGCCGGCTCGCTACAATGGCGACAATCGACAATCGTAAGCGACTGCGGTGACGACGACGCCGACAAATCGAGTGATAAACTCACGCGGCCCGGCCAATCGCAGCGCGCCAGTCCTCCCACGAAAATCCGTCCTGCGCCTCCATTGGCCAAGCAACTGCCATTGCCTTACGGATGTTATTATGCAGAAGGAGACCGACTGTTTGAAAATTCGAAATAAGAATTCGAAGCGCTCGCCGGCCGCCTCACAATGCAAATTGGTTGCGCGCGCTGCGGTCTCTTTCTATCGCCGCATCGTGCCGCTTCTTGTTTTATTTATGACTCGCTCGCGCCGCCGCTGCGCCGGAATAAGAATCATTTTGTTTGGCAGGTTTTGATCGTTATTCTCTGTAATAACAGATTGTCTTGCTTCCGCTAGTACACACTCGCTTCACACATTCTGAATCATATTCATATTCTTACAAATATATTTTATACGTTATGCCATGTGAGCAATACAAAGTCATCTTTTATTGATCCCACATAAGCTTGATACAGCTTTTAAAATTTGTAGAAACGACTAATAGACCAAAATTATAACTAGAATTCCGAGGTTAGACCTAATAAGTAGTATTGTATTACCATTGAAAAGGGGGCAAAGGTAAGAATACTGATTGGAATTTACTGCAAATTACAAAGACAGAGAAAGTTTATTATTAGATTAAGATCAATAACAAAAACATAAATGGATGGGTCTTTCTACAACCTTTATTCTTACCAATAATCCATTTTACCTACGTTTTAGCATTACTATAAAGAAATGAGACTTTGATCCGCGATTTAAGGAAAAATAATGTAAAATACTTTTGAGAACTAACAGGCAATCAAATACTTAGACAGTTAGCAAAACAAAGTGCATAAACTTTAAAATACAACAAACTTCCTGATATCTTAATATTAATCTCAAACTTGTATTATTTTAAGAATAACAATAACAGCAATCTACTGCTCCCTAAGGTCATATTTTCACACACAAACTGATTTTTATTACAAATACAACAATAACGTATCGATTACTAAAGAGACCGTTAAAAAATCTAAGGTCAAGAGCCCGATACATAGAATATATCAAGAAATTTTCACATGAATGGATCGCACAACGGAAACTAGATTAAAGAATAACATTCTCAAGTATTGAGGCAAAGCTCAAGAAGCAATAACTGAATACGCTCGATTTCTAACAGAAATTGAAGACACAATCGAATCTATACGAAAAATTATCATACGTCCATCATCCAAATATGATCCAATAATATCAACAATGGGAGCAACATGCAAATTCGTTAACGATACGTAACGAAGACGTTACGAATTTCATATCAATCGTGTCATTCCGTTTCATATTCAAATATCCCACAATTGGCATATTGGCTACCGAAAAAAATTGACAATCGCTTAAAAAATTCATGAATTAAACACATGTTCAATAATTGAATTGTTATAAGTATGAATAAGTTGGCGACACGAGGGCAGTAGGTCGCGCCCCAGGGCGGGAGGTGTCGCGACAAAACGTTGCAACGTGCGCTCCGCATTGTGTCGTACGCAAATTAACTGCGAACGCATTCAATTTTTATTGCCCATAACAAAAAAATATATTCCGATAATATATTCAATTCATCGATTCGGGACGCACAGTACATGCGTTGTTATGAAAGAAATTTTAAATGTCTCTAAATGATTTTTGCATATGACGTCGAACAAGCCAATATATGAATGGAACATACTCATGTAGATTTAAACATGTGCGGAATGCAGGTAGCTTTCAGATTATATCGCCTCGACTCGCTGTCATTTAAATTTTTATATTGTTGTTGTTCGTACAATAAAACCCGGCAGACCGTTACAAATTTGTTTTTTTGATATTGCATATTTAATATTTCATTACATTGGAGAGCTATAATTTTGAGTATACGTTGACTATTATTGTAGTCGTGTTAGATGCATAATATTGCTTACTTGCTTATATACCACTTACATACTATGTTTATTTACCTAAAAAGACCTTTTTTGTGTAAGTAATTAATAAGCTGAAAAATTATAAGACCGGTTAAAAAAATCTTTTGACATTACAAAGCTAAATTATCACAAAATAACAAAAACAGTTTTATTTTTAATTTTGCAAGAACGAATCGTGATAAAAAGTCAGTAGTAGATAGAGCTACACGTTTCAATTATTAAAGCAATTAGTATCATTTAAAAATGTAGATATATGTTGATCCATTCAATCAGATGAAAGTGATCAAACGCCAGTTTACCTAGTAATTATAAGCATTGGTATGATTGTGGTTATTGCTAGTCTAATAATGGCCATGCGTTATCGAATCGAAATTCAATTTTATAATGCGTATTTTATAGCATGTAATCATTCAGTTGTGAAATCGGTCGACAGTATGGTAAGCAATATTACCATAAGGTCGGTGAATAATCAAAACTATTCATTCATTCTCTGTAATACGATTGACGTTCGAAACGGATTCAATTTAACAAAAATTTGTCTCGCATTGTACACCATTTTGTTCGGTGTGCAAATCCGTTGCCGATAGATATTTTCATGCAAATATTTTTTTTATGCTTTTTTTGTTAAGTTAATGCAGAATCGATATTTTTTACTGCGCCATTGTTGTATGAATGGGCGTGAACGAATCGAGCGAAATCGATCGCTCGATCGAATCGCCACTGAAATGTAAATTCTGATTCGTCTCTTATTTAATAATCATTTGATTTGTAAAGAATGTAAAAGTACTCGATGTAATTTTATTACATGATTGCGTGTTATTTATTATTTCGTTCTTTCATCAATTTATTTATCGATGTGATTTATATCATGCCAGTTAAATCAATTGTAACAGAACTTAATTATTTTACACAAACCTTATTCGAAATACTAAAGTTATTAACTTTATACCTAGACTAAATTAAAAGATATTCCGACATCAGCTCAAAAAAAGTCAGTTACGGTTATATAAAAAATATTATTGGAATACAGTTGGTTTGTTTGACAGACAAATTAGGTTGTATGAAAATGTAAGAGTATTGGGTGGATGACGCAAATCCATCACATATGATTATTTACAATTCTCACAATGTCCCAGTGACGGCCACTTGTGGGCTATCGATTATCGATACGGTCGTGACATCGAGTGGTGTGCGAGTGACAAGATCGTAGTAAGGGATTTGTTGACAGATGTTTTTGATGGCAAAGAGACAATCCCAGCTTGCAAGCAATACTAATAACTAGCTTACATACCAAGTATTAGCTATTCGCACGGGAATGCAAACGGCTTCATATGCATCAAATTGTGAACATTTTATTTTGTTGCTTACATTTGTCAAATTATCAATATCAAATGTGAAAAAGACATGACATGACAAACCTTGGCAATCTTGATTCCTTGATGTTGGCAGCAACTTATGGTCTCTTTCCCACATCAAGGTTTTTATCCAAAATATTTACCCCCAAAGTTTAATGGCGTGGAAATATATAGCCTAAAGCGTGACGTTAGTGTAGGGCTTATTATTAAAAAAAATATTGAAAAATATGCTGTAATTGCTGACATCTTAGGAAACAAAGAAGTGTGTGTTTACGCTTTATTATAATAGTATAAATGTATTCCTACCTTATCCTTAAATGTCGACCATCTTAGTGTTCCTGTTGCTCGTTTACTTCTCGTATAAAAAGTATGTTTGACTCTTATAAAAGTTTAGTAATTACCTAATTTGTTACTTAAGTACGGCGGCTTAAAGTTTGTTTTATAAGTTTAATTGGCATTAAAGAATGTTGCTTAACTCTTACATCATCAATGATTTAAGAGAACTTAAGCTTAGCCGGCTTAAGACTTGGAAATTAACTCTTGTCCAAATGATTTCGTGAAGCTTGTTTGTTTAGATATACATTAAAGTATAACTTACTAGCTATTGCTCGCGATTTCGTCCCAGTAAAAATAAAAAAGTAAAAAAAGACATAGCCTCATTGATAAATTACCTTTGTAACGGCGAAAGATTTTTTAAAATCGGCCCAGTAGTTTTTGAGTTATTTCAATACGAATAAAAATACAGATATTTTCTCTTTATAACATTATTGATTAGTATTGATTAGTAACTATTAGTAATTAGTATATATTAAAAACCGATATTTATGATTTACTTGCAATAAAAGATTCCGTTACACTATAAACGTTTTAAAATCCTGTAGCTTTCGGTACACAAGTCCTAAAATACCAAAATATCGATAAAAGATAACACTATGTGATAAAACTCTCACTAACTCAATTACGACATCTAGTGGCCGTTACACTCGGGGACTTTTCGCTCGTCGAATTTTATTCATGGCGTCCCGCGTATTGTACGAAGCCCTCCAAATTAAGTGCCTTTGGATGTCAGTAGAGCGTAAGATCCGTCGCCTAATCTCGGTTGATCATTTCACGTGTCCGATTGTGGGGTTTCGGGTGGTGCGGATGCGAAAGTTTTACTCTGGTGCATCTCATAAGCGTATAGCGGAATACCGAAATGTAAAAGCGATTATTGAAATACAGTTTCCAATCCCATTGTTGTTATTACAGTAATTAGTCAATACATTAAACAAACATTGGAGAAAATTTTAGTTAATTTACTTATGTAGATAGGTACAGTTACGACAAATTAAAAACTTGACAATCTGAACTTTATTACAATGATTATAACCAGATTTTTGTTTACATTTTTTGAATTTGAGACACTCGAAGATGTTAAAAAATGTTAGTATTCATATACGCTTACAGCTAATGATTTGCACCATATAAGCGCAGAATGAAGAAGCTCATAATGAATTAAATCTTATTGCATTTAAAATTCATGAGTTCACCGATTGGACTTTAAATGTATATGTCATAAGAATGAAAATCGCGCGCTCATACAGTATTTATTTAGGTGCAATGATATCCTCATGGTAAATTAGCTCGTGGGTTATTTGCCGTGTTAAATCCAC